ATTATATTATAGAATACTATTTGTGTTATTGCGTAGACGGTAATTACGTTGGGAGAAAAACATTTTTGTTTATCTATATTTTTGCCGTCTATTCTCCAGTAAATCGCACAAACGAACATTGGGGATAGGTGATTTTAAATTTTCTTACAAGAGGACGTCATATCCCCATTTATTAAGGAGTTAGGTGTAGGTAATTTTTTGAAAAATCTTGATTTAAAGGTTAAACTGTAGTGTGTAATTATTAGTTCAGTAGTTTATAGAGTTAGGACACTTTTAAAAAGTCAAATTATTTTTCGGACTATCACAGCATCCTTGGTAATTTTTAAAATACAGTTTTCGTCTAAACATATTCTTTATTATTGACCAAATAATAATTGTAGATAATAGTTTTTCACATATTATTTAAAGTAATGAGAACTTTAATATGTAGGTTCTCTCGACGGCTTTTTTTATATTATTAAACCGACATTCACAATTTATAATTTTAATTCTGACATATTTTTACTTTTTTTAAGTGCTTATATTTGAAACAAAATTTAAGTTTTCAAAAAAAAAGATCTCAGTGAGAGAACCTAGTTCTTCTCTTTTTATTGGTATCAACATTTTTTTCTACGACTATTTCGCTTTGAACTTAACATGCTTTTCCATAAAAACGTTTTTACGATTATTTATAAAGTGTATGACGTCCTCTTATTGAGGGAGACAAAACGCTTTTTTTACTCGAAACGGTAATTTAAAAAAATATTCACAAGTAAACACAATCGAGCATTTGGCGTACACACGTATAATAAACATTCCTAATTCCCACCGACGAGACCGTGTGTTGAGCGTAGTGGTTTGCTATATAAGAACAATAAATATAATATATACATACATATTTTGATGGCCAAAAGATAAAACGTTCACTCGTTGTTTACATCCGACCACGGCGAAACGCATCGCAACCGCCGTGTGTTGTGTTTTTTAACTTTTTCAATCATCACTAAAAAAAAAAGAAAACACCTCTTATACCATTTCTATTAATTGGACTGACTTCTGCGTTGCCAATGGACAAACATTATATAATATGTACAATTTGCACAATTCTGTATACATATTATACAATAGGGATACGATTCATATGTGCAGTACGAACGATAATGCGTGTGATAAGGGATTACTGATGAGAGAATCGGCTAATAATTATTGAGGAACAACTAATTTACCATAGTCTGTTCGCCGAAATAATAAGAATGCATCGAAGCTAAAAAAAAATGCAACACTTTGTGGAACCATGACCCGCGCAGGGATGACGTTAGCCTAGAGGGGGACACTGCTAAATATTATGTGTTGTATTCTCTTAACCGGACTACTCGTAACTAACCTCACCACACACACACACTGCACTTCTAATATACATATTTAAATATGTGTAAATTCATTATTTATACGTCGCATTATCGTTAATATGTAAATTAGACACAAACACACACATGCATTCTCGTGTACTTAAATAGAATAATATTTATATATTCATTTTTATAAATTGATCAAAAGATATGATATAACGTTATTTAATAATAATATATTTTTGTTTAACACGACTGCCACACAGAAATCACCTAACCTCCTTACACGATGACAATGATTATATTACCGCGGTACCGTTCGCCACTGCTGTTTAGTTTGGTTGTTTCTTATTTTTTTTTCTACTCCAATATTCCGGTAAATCCGGATTCCTTACCACGCGTACTTACCTACCTTCGGGCACACGCGCGCGAGTGTGTGGATCTACAAACTCGAACAGGGACTTGATATATTATGTATTACAGTGACGTTTAGTGGATAGTATAGCTGAAAACAAGTACCGAGGGAAACGCGAATGGGGCAACGGCTGTGATGCACATCATGGAAACTCCAAAAATAATTATACATTCAAAAAAAAAAGATGGCCCATGATCGGTTCACCGACCCGATAATACCAGCGGGTAATAAATGTTCTTTTGAGCATTTTTTTTCCTATTAAAAAATTGTGTTTAATAAAATCAAAAATCCATAAAATACAGTCCATAGTGTGCTAGTTCTATATAATGTTACTTGAAATGTTGAGAATTATGATTTTTGTCCAAAGGTTTGGTCGAAAAACAAATATTTTCAATGATATTTTGTAGGAAGAGTGAAACTTGTCACTTACCAGAGATTTATAGACCGGATTTTTTATTGGAACGTATCATCATAACGTTTTAAATGACGTGTTAAAACTATAATAAAACAAAAAAAAATGCTGACGCTTGACTAAAAATAACTCGGACGAGGTGTAAAAATATCTGGACAAGTCCGAAATTAGATGCCGAGGTTTTGTTGGGTGCTTCCCTCCTCCTCCCCCCCTTACCGTCGTGCTCGGGCCTTGACATTGGGGAACTGGTTTTTTGTAAATAAATTAAATTTAATCATATTCATCATATATTATTATTATTAATATTATTAGTAGTAGTTGTAGTATACATTGACTATGGACAAAATCGATGATTTACAGTAGCGTCCGAAATCATCGTTGCCAGCCGTGAACCTCTTTCAACTTGCCCTTACCGCGAACAAACCCCCCCCCCCTGCATCCCTCGGCCACCGGTCTTGCTGTAATGTTAGTATATGTATATATTATAATAACATTATTACTACGATGGTCGCACAGCTGTATACATACACAGTGTACTAAAATGGTATTATGGTAATGAAATCCGATCGAGACACTTGATCCAACGCCGTACTCGCATCTTTTAATTAAAAACCGATCATCACCGTATAATCTGTTGATACATTATAATATACCAATGTGCGTGTGAATTATTACACTGACAGTCGTTTGACAGATAAAAATTACAAATAAAAGAAAATCCCAAGAAAAGTAATATTTTTTGCCATCTATAAATCATTTTGTCCATCATCGGGCGGATACTAATAATAATATGTCAGATAATGTATTTTTGTAGACATTTTTTTTTACAATTTGAGTATTTATTGTCTTGAATCAAAAGTATAACTTTCTTGTTCGTAAAAACACAATTTCAATAGCAAAACTAAAACGTTTCTAGATGGCTAGATCGTAGAATCTACAAAATTACTTTTCTCAATATGTACTGTTTTCTTTCCAAAAACCCGTTTTCCATCTCGGCTCAAATATTTTGTCGTTACCATTTATTTCCCCAAAATTTCACCTTCAGAGTGAACAAACGTCAAACCGTCACTAATTAAGTTGAAACTCTACTCGGGACAGCAATCGAAGACTACTTTTGTGTTTATCAAAATAACTATATATACTTTAACACGTTCTTGGATATTAAGTAGTTGCATTTTTAGCCTGTAGTATAACGGGTTGCATGGCGGTTGTGATCATTTTACGTTATCCTTCAGTTTTTTGAAAATTCTTTTACCTCCACAGCCTGGGTGCTGACAAGTGTCCGGTTGTGCGACGACGGTAACAACTGCTTGTTAAAATCCAGTGGCTGTTCCCACGTAAACTGGTTGCCACTATGGTCTCTATCTCAGGTTTTTGATTTCGTGTACCGGCTTTAATTTTCAATGTCCGAAGAAGCCGCTAAACACGTTTTTAATCGTTACCAATAAAATCCCATTAACCTAAGCGATTAAAGCGCAGTTTTTTTTTTTTTTTTTTTGCGGAAGGAGCTGTTGGTGCTTAGATGTTTATCTGATCGATCAAAATACAACACCGTTATCTCGCCGAGCGATTAATTTATTATTATGGATCAATTTGGGGTTCGAATAATATTTAATGAACTCTTTTTATTTTTCTTGTGTATTATGCTAATTTGTTTAATACTTTTATAAAACGTTTTTATAGCACTTGTTTTGTGTAATGTTATTCAAAAAAATAAAACTGCACATAATTAAAAAATAAATTACCTGTTAATTGTTCCAATAAATTTTATATTTTCTTCGAAAAGCGTAAGTTCTGAGCATTGTAATGGTACATAAAAGTATAAAAACGATAATTAGTTTAAATATTTATTTAGAATTTTAGTGTTGATTGTTTGTTTATTTTTTTTTTGGTTATTTTTTAATAGTGCTACAATAGTACTTCTAATGATCTTAATTATTTTAATTTTCTTCAGTGGTCACCAATCGAGTTCAAATTTAAACAAACCCATATGTTGGCGACGCATTATGTTTTGTTTTATTCAATTGGAGATTTCAATAATTATTATACACACACAGTGATTAACCGAGGTCTGATAGAAATCGAAACAATTATAGTTAAGGAAGACGTGTGATACAATAGAATGCTATAAATCACAAATATTTATGATACCAACAGACGATTGTTTGTTCTCCCGACTTTTTTTTTGTTCTATTATTAACCGTGTATTGACTGACCGCGATCCGCCGTTATCTTTACTCCCTTCCTTTCCTCGACATTCCGATTACACGTGTCCAGCTCAATCTATTGAATTTTTTTCGGTTTCCACTATACAAAAATAGAGTACACTTTTGTCGGTTTTATTGGGTTTTACCGGTGGATAACAATTAACAACACACGGCCAGTGTCGGTTTAAATTGCCCAAGAAAGACACTCGCCCCGGCGGTGGTATACACTTGTAGCCCGAGCCGTTCTCCGAACAGCGTCGGTTTCCAGTGTGACAATCATCGCCCGTGTGTGTGGAGAAAAAATATATTTATAAAAATAAAGCGCAAAAATAGTCTGCCCGCGGTTTATGTTTTTATTTTTGACAAGTTTCCTTTATTGTCGAACCCGCAAACAAGTCCGCGGTCCGTGCCGGTATTATTATTAAGCTTGACAATACCTAATAATAATATCTAATAACTATGTTTTTCTTTTCTCTATTGTTATCTATCCGTGTTATAACGACGGAGGATTAGATTATTATTATTGTTGATGCGGCATCATTAGATTTCTGGCCGTTCTCGGGGCGCGCCTGCCTGCCGTCGTTGTGATTTATGTTGATTTTTTTTTTTTGTAATTTTCGTTTTTTTTTTCTTTCCAGATATCTTTGGCGTGACCAACGACCAGAGGAGTAGTAGGAGGAAGAGTCCCGGACCCTAACAGATTCTTTCAGGATTTTAGGGAGCAGCGGACGGCCCCGAAGTGCAACGGATACGACGGTTTCCACCTCCAAAATGGGCCGTAAGAAAATCCAAATTTCCCGAATCACGGACGAGAGGAATCGTCAGGTGAGAAATAAAAATATCCCGAACACTATTTTTTTTTTGTTTTTTCTATACTTTAGACATCTGCAGGTACTATCATTAAGTATATTATTCTCAATGGTACTATCTACTGTCTAGTATCTGAAACAATCGTGTAGAGTAGTAGTAGTAGGTTAAACTGTAGGTTGTTCTGTAATTTGGTAGCGTTTTCTAAAATTGAACAATCGTCAAACGCATTTAATAAAAAAATATATATTTTTTTTTAACCGAGTTATTTTCTCCGGAACAAATGAAACCTATTTGTTCCGGATTGCCAAGAAAAAAAGTGTTTCGGACAACAACACACTTGGGTGATATGAACCTTTATTTTGGCGCTCTTAAACGGATACAAAGCGCGAGATAGGGGCTAAAATAGCTGTTATTAAAACGTACTACCACCTCGTCGTCGGCTTTTACTGCTCAATGGAAAAAGGTCGTCGAACTCGTTTCTTTTTCATTCATTGTCGTTAACGGTGGTAATAGTATAATAATAATTTGTCGTGTAGTTAAAATGATAAATGACTATGTGTGTGGTGCGACCGTTCCCCGACCCAAAAATCTATCTTTTTTTGGGTATTACCGGCCAGAATAACGTTGTGATGAAGTGTGGGGGGGAGTAACACTAAAGAGACCCCAGTACGGTCTGATCAAAAGGGAAAATTGATAAATTATTATCTTTTCGTTTTGCGTGCCGGGGAATCTGGGGGAGACTCGGGCAAGAACAAATCGTGTTTATTTTGACGAATATTCAAAAAATATTGTCATGCACATTTTAACACAAACCTAACCGTGTAACGCTTATTATTATTATTATTATGCGCTGCTGCAGTTCACGTCAGTTGGTGTGCATTTGACGCGCATTTTTGTGTTTTGTGCAATAACGGATGCACTTAGTGCAAAATACTGCAATTGGCTTCCATTTTCAAAATGCATTTCCATATCATGCGTGTGTTGGCTTAATAATAACTACACATTTTTTTTTTACGCTTATACTGCATTTACTGTTCGCGTGAGAATGTTATCATTAAAGAGACCCGCCATGTGGTTAACCCTTATTATAATTGTTTATGCAAAGATAAAATAGTGTAACTGGAAACTACGCGCTAGCAAATATACTAAGAATTGCATTTATGACTTAAAAGTCAAAATGTGTATTAAAAAAAATACTGAAAAATTAACCTATAACGATATAAAATACTTCAAAAAAATATATATATGTATTATTATTATAGTGATGTAAGCTTTTACAACAAACAATATTTATTTAAAACTTTTTAATGAAATTAAATTAAATTTCCTAATATTTTATTAAAATTTCAAATAACCAAAAATTTGAAATAATATGATAAAAAAACTACAGTGCTGGATAATTTTAATACCGTACGGACTAAATTAAACTGAGAATTGACGATTAACCGTTGTTGTTGGTATTTTACAGGTGACGTTTAACAAGAGAAAATTTGGCGTCATGAAAAAAGCGTACGAATTAAGCGTACTCTGCGACTGCGAGATCGCTCTTATCATATTTAGCAGCTCCAACAAGCTGTATCAGTACGCCAGCACCGACATGGATAAGGTGCTGCTCAAGTACACCGAGTACAATGAACCCCACGAATCGCTCACAAACAAAAACATTATTGAAGTATAAACAGCAAAACATTATTTTTTTTTTTTTAATTTTTATTTCAATTTTAATGTTGTGTTTTGTATGTGTTTTTGTCTTGCAGCAACTCAATAAGAAAGAACTCAAGGGAGGCGCTATGAGCCCCGAGAGTCCAGATGAGAGCTGTGACGGCACACAAGGTCCATACCAACTGACCCCTAGGACCGAAGCCAAGTATAGTAAAATCGATGAAGAGTTCCAGTTACTCATGCAGCACCAACGGATGGCAAGAGTGAGTGAATATATGGTTTTCAATTTTCGTTTTACAAATTTTAAACTTTGTTTTTTTTGTTGTGTTGTCGTTCCAGAATAATGTAGGTGCTAACTACACGCTTCCCGCCTCGATGCCCGTCAACAACATGTACCAAGAAAGTGGAAATATGCAAATGCAACACAGCGCCAGTCCACGGCCTCCTTCGTCGGACGCAGATTCTGGTAAGGACAATCAGAAACTGATCAAATGTCTTATATAAACAGCATTTTTAAAAATTTTTGTTTTTTTTTTTTTTGTTTTAGTTTATCCTGCTAGTAACATGTTGGAAATGAGCAATGGATACCAAGCGTCTTCTTCGCCCGCTCTAGTCAATTCGCCTTCGTCGCCGGCACAATTAGTCATGTCGCCTTCACCCACGCCCAAAGCATTAAACGCGTCCAACCGAGCTACTCCGCCTCCGAGACATCATTCGCCCAGACCCAACTTACGTATAGTCATGCCAAACGCTACTAGTCATCATAACGACGATACGGATGTATGTTTGTGCTGTTTATCATACAAATTCAAAACATTTTTCATGTTTTTATTTTTTAATTTTTTTTATACTTTCAGAACAATTCAATTAACACGCCTTCCGTCTCGCTGAACACTCCTGTCGTTGCGCTGCATACACCCGGATTAGGCGGCTCCTACCATGGGATTTTCACTGATCTTACATCATCGGACATGGGTTTATCATCGGCTTTGAATTGGTCAAATCAACTAGCACACAACAGGTTGGTCCTTAGTGATTTTAATCTTTTAGTATTTAAATTTTAAATAACAATATTAACAGTGACTATGCTTATTTCAGCAGCAATATGTCGCACCTGGGTGTACCTAATTCGCCACCGCCATCGTCACAGTCACCGAATTCGGTACGCATCAAAAGCGAACCGAATTCACCGCCCCATTTACATCACCATACGTCAGTGGCACCGTCTTCGGGAGCGCCTAACACAGTCGTCTCACATTCTATAAGCCATTTGTCGTTGCCTCACGCCCACTCGTCGATACCGTCTCATCATTTGACGGTAACAGGTAAAATTCAAACTATTTATGATTATTGCCGTTAATCACAACCGTCACTCATGGTGTATCTTTTTTGTTTATATTTTCAGAACGTTTTATATTGGGTGGGCAGCTGTCCGGCGGCAACCAAAGTCTCGTAGATTCGAGGCACGATTTTGACGGCGGTCCTCCACCGAAAAGGCTGCGCGACACCTGGCCAACATGACTAAACTGTTGAGTAGTAGCTTGACATCACAGCAAATTTTTCTTCTACTGACCAACTTCTTTCTTCTGTTAACAATTTTTCTTTTTTGACAAATTGTCCTATAATTAGTACTACTCTAAAGCTGTTATCCATTTCAATGACTACTCCAACACTGCTACAAGACAATTAATTTTCTGATGTATGCTACATTGAATACTCCTTCTCTCTTTATCTCTTTTGTCTGTCGTCAATATTATTTTATATGTGTATATATAATCTTCTGTTTTTATCTCTATAAAATAACATATCTATATGTTTGTAAGTACTAGTTGATGATGATTGATAAATATATATATTGATATATATATATATATATATATATATATATATATATATATATATATTTATTATAATAATATGAAGTTTGTCAATGATTATCGGCCACTTGCTAATGTACCGCAAAAAAAAATCTGACATCGACAAACTTAAATGAATAAGTCTAGTCTCTTAACAATATAGTAAACGATATATTTGTATGTATATATATACTAAAATTACTAGTCAATAAACTCAGTAAGACAAAACTTGACTATGTATATGTACATTATATCGACCAAATTCAAAATGTAGAATTTAAGTTCTTTTACAATATATATATATTTATATATATTATATTGAATAATATACTAACACTACTTTTGTTTTAAATTAGACGGTTTTTTTTAATTTTAATTTATTTAAATTTTTTTCTGTTAATAACATTTGTTTGAGAGTTGATTTAAATTAAATATTAAATAATTTTAAATTTTGTGTACATTGTTATTGAGTGATGATCCAGTAAATAATTTTCAAAAGTATATTATATAAATAAAGACTTTTTGTGTAATGTGTAAATTTACGATATTTATTTTGAACTTTGGCTATTTTGTTTTTTGTTTTTTTTTTTATATATATAGATGTATATAAGAGATTTTTATATCTAAAAATTAATGATAATAACAAAATTAAATTGATACGTCAATTTTTTATGTGCAATTTCATGGCCATTATTTTCAATCAAAAAAAGAAAAAAAAAAGGGAGGCGTTAAAATATGTATACCATTTTATTATTATATAAAAAATAAATAAGGTTTGATAATATTTTTGTATAAATAAATAGAAGATATAAAAGTAATGAGGAATTACATTAAGTTAGTATGTAAGCGGTGCTATGTGTACAATTATGATATATATATTTTTTTTTTATGGTGCCATTTATTAATTTTGTAAGTCAGCACTTTATGTATACACATTTTTTTATTGATTGATCTTAGTATTGTTTTTGTTATGAAGCAGCGGTTAGGTTTACTCTGTTTGCGCGCGCGAGGAAGTATTCAATACTTAGGCTCAATTTTCTATTGCGAAAAAAAATTTCTACAAAGAAGAATTGCTTATTATTAAAAAATATACACAAAACGTTAATTTAAAAAAAAAAAAAAAGTTACAACGTCAAGACAGGTATTTATTTTCTTAATTTTGAAATTATATTTGAGAGCTTATTATAAACATGTTTTTTTTACCATTGTAACATTAAACAGGGTTTGTTAAATGAAATATTTAAAAACAAAATTTAAAGGGTTTAAAATGAATACATTGTTTAATTTTATTATTATAGTTATTTTTGACACTCATTATCTTTATAGAGTATAATATATATTATGTATATTGTTTTCTTTATTATTATTATAATTTTTTTTGTTAATTAATTTCTTGAAATATGTTATGTTACGTGTACTGATAAAACTGTAAATTAATACATAAAATATAGATACATATATATAAATATATAAATAAATGAATATAATATAATATTTTAGACAACATTTGTTAAGACATTATTTTTCAAAAATGATACCTAAAATTACCCATTTTGTTATTATATTATCTTGTTTAAAATACAAAAATCAAACTGAGCACAGTATAATATAACTCTTTTTATTATTTTAAGTGGATCGATATATTTTGTTGTGCACACATTTTATAGCATTGTTTGTTAATTTTTATCGTAACATTTATCCCAAATGAAATAAAATATTATATTCATAGTATATTACATTGTAGAAAGATTTAGCAAGGCCGTATGTGCAATAATAAAAAAATAATAATGTACACATTTTATGTAAAAATAAAAGTGGAAGATAAAGCAGAAGAATGAGAGAGAAAAAATAAAAAAATTTTATAAATAGGTTTTTTTTATTATTATATTATTTTTTGTTTTTTTTTCTTGTTTTATCATTTGTATTATATTGATTGCCAAAAGAAATAAAAAAAATATATAAATTATAAGATATGTAACAAACGTGTATAATATGTCATAATATATCATAATAATATTGTGGATGTGTTTGTTTGGAAAAAAACGTTTGTACATTGAAGAAATGACCCGACAACGGTTTTTTTCCTTTTTTTTTTTTTTATAACTGTCTGGCCAAGTTAGTTTTTTAATTTCGTTAAGTGAAACCACACCCGCTATTGTTTGTCATGTCGTGTGGCGTTTGTGTGTGTGCACAAAGGGTGGCTAAAAAAACTTCACTGGTCGACCGCCTAAAGCAATGTGTTAAATACAATATAGTGTGTACAAGTATGGGCAACAAGGTGGTCACGTTCACCGAGGCGCAACTGGAGGATTACCAGGTGACGAAACGCGATAATTATACTGTAATGTATAACATTATTGTATGTACTTAATTATTGCATGCTTAGAGGAGGGCTGTCTATTTCTATTATTGTTGCATTGCGACTTGCGAGTTTAGTTTTTTTACAAACTATTAGCTTATAGATTTATAGTTGTACCTAAAATATTCTGAATATTCTGATATCGGTTAACAGTGTGAAAGTGAATTCAATATTCGTAAACATTATACTAGGTACCTGTTTTAATGTATAAATAGTAATACAAGTTGTTCTTTTGAGTTTCAAAAAACAATTTACTTTTACACATCTACGAACCAAATAATTGTGGTTAGGTATAATATAATGTAACCGATCAGTTGCGTTTTTATTATGTGTGTAAGTAAAAAAAAAAAATGGTTATAACAAATATGGTTTTAAATTTAGCTAGGAAAATTAATTCAAAACAATTTTGATACGTTTTTCAAAAGTCAACAAAAAATTGATACTCGTCTATTAAATTATTATATATTTTTTTTGAGCTCATTTTGACAATTCTTATAGGTATTATATATTTGCCACTCAAGACCTTTTGGGCGCACAATAATTTATGTTCATACATACATTACCCATAGTACTTAGAAAATATAATAATACCTTCAAAATAAGAAATTAATTTAATTGATATAAAGAAAAAACGCATATGTTATGTGCGTACTGGGTTGTATAGAATGATTGGTTAAACGTAATTCTATATGTGGTGATATTAAGTCTGGAATTTCCCAAAGATGTCTATATTTACCAAATATATTTTACGGATTTTTAACACAAAGTATAGGTACCAATCGTTACTATCGTTTATCGACTATTGTACCGCTAATTAATTAATTTTCAAATAATTGGATGTGCATTATTGTTGTTGTTGAGCAGTTTTAGGCGATAACATAATTCATAAATACCTTTATACATTAAATATAATTTAATGGATTCTATGTGTATCTAATATTGTGAACTCACGAGAAATCAGAAATGACAATTGAACTTGTCATTGACGCATAATTTAGTAAACCTGAAGGAATTTCCCCAGAAAAACGGAATGTATGCTATTACTTTAAATATAAGATAGGGATATGGCCAGTGTACATTTATTTACTGTTTGACGCAGAGTTGATGTTAATTAAATAAAAAATACTCCTTTTAACATTATATTGTCCGTTTGACAGTATAATATATTTTATTCGCGCGAAATAATAAATAAAAAATTCAACAAGAAGCTGCTATTTTACGATCAATATTAGTCTAATTTTAATTTTAATTAAATTGTTGGCGACCAAATGTTGTAACTTGTAAGAAATCGTATCAACGTTTTATTTGTTTATGGGCGATGCCAAATGTATTATAGTTTGTCCTTCCTTTTGTACCATACATTAGAAAACTAAATATATTTTTTTAAAAGCGTTTGTTACAAACCAGACTTTTGAAGTTAAACATTTTTAATTTAAAAGAAATACGTTTCTTTACTTAGGTACTCTTAGAATTGTTTTAAAACAATCTTTTCGATGGAATAATTGTTCAATCTGTATTGATATTTTTGAACTAATAGTAATTATTAGTTATTACACTAATGTCGGCTATTGATTCAATTGTATCGTTTATAATTTAATCATTATACATTGTACATATTTAGATAATATAATGATCTAAATGTGTAAAAAATAAAAATAATTTTTTACTTAAAATCAAAAGCTAAATTCAATATAAAGAATGTGTAAAAATGGCATTAACATTTTGAATGACTGTAGTAATAAGTAAAAAATGCAAAACAAAAATTCAAAGTTGGGATTTTTTTGATACTAAATCGAATACAATAATTGTCGTCGATAATCGACTAAAATACACGACTCGACGTTTGACTTTTTTATTTGATCTTTAATGTTTTTATATTGGGCCTAGATATCTAATCGTGGCCAAAAATCGAGTTAAATTGTAAGTTACTGACTATATTTGTTCGCTTATAATATTTTCTAGAAAAAACAAACCGTGGGATTATCAATTCGGAGGGAATACACCGAATATAAAAAATGTATTCGAACAACTTGCATTATAATTAATATAGTGTTCTGTGTTACTACTTAAAAATATTTAAGTGCTGTCTAACAGCTGGTTATTATTGGATCATATTTTCAAAGGACTGCAAAAATTATGTTAAATTATGTATACTTAGCTTGGCTGGAATAACAAAACTGCTGTATTTTAAACCGTCAGCGTGTAATTCTATATTGACCCGGCAAAAAAAAATAGTACCTAGGTACCTATTCTCAAAAAAAAAAAAAAAAATTCACAATCAGAACATCATAATATCATCGTTGTATTTTGTGTACTTAATGTTTTTTTATTTCTGTTATAGGACTGCACTTTTTTTACCAGGAAGGAAATACTTAGGTAAGTAAGACGTGAACACGTGTGTGACTACTACAGACGACAGACAAGTATATTATTAATTATCACGTGTGTATATGTTATACAGTGTGTCTCAAAACGTAACATAATAATAAAAACACATCATTGTAGAAACAATACCTTCTCAGCTACACGTCTAAGCTAAAAAATGTACACATCGTGATTTTTTTACAATAATAAATCCCAGAAGCATTGACAAGCAGGCGAATCCTGGCCTAGCCTAGTCGGTAGAGGGTGTTGGCGGTTCCTTTTCACCGGTCTTATGTTTGCAGGCAAACTTCTTGATTTCAGCCGAGAATTTTAATGGTAATCATTTTGTTGGAAAATATAGTAGAATATGTTGGTAGTCATGTGTATGTATATGTCGTGATTCCACTAAATATTAACAAGCCTGTTTTCTAGCATTTTAAAATTTTAAATATTTCCAATGACTGGTAATTTCCTGCGATTATCAGAGATTACCAAAGATTTGTACACTGAATTTCAATAGTGATTTACTCTCTGATAATAGTCTACTCGAGTAGGTAGGCGTGTAGAGAAATATTTTACTATTAATCGAAGGAGAGTATCGTGTTAGACCATTTAAAATACACCGTGACCTCGTATTACCGAAAGCAATTAATTTTAAATGCAGACGGACGTTTTGAGACGATCTGTTAATCTTTACTTCCGGCCGGAACACTTGTGTACAGATCCGATACACATTGTTGACTTATCCGACTTTGACGCACAATGGCGGTGATTTGAATTGAATAATTTATAGACATAAGCTTCGAGGGCTTTTTCTGTTTGGGTTTAGCACACAATTTGTAATACTATTTTCACAGTAAATGTATAATTTTGAGCTCTAAGCCCACGTGGCTATTGATCATCACGTTGTTGTTGTATAGAAAACCGAGAAATGGGTTTTGGACATCTTCAATGGCAATCAAGTATTGCGTAAGTTGTTCTTATTCTTTGTGGGCAAAAAATAAGACTGGTATTATCGACAAGAGCTAACTTAAGCTCTTGATCAACTTAGATTCGTGTAGGCAAAATAACCGTAGAAAGGCTTTGTCTCTCTTGTCCCTGTCAAGTTACTGATTAGTCTAAACTACCGAAAATCATTACCTTTGAAAACATTCTTTCACGAGAACACTTGAATACCCTTTCAGTCTTAAGTGTGGTGCCAACTGGCATATACTGGACGTTTACATTTTTGTTTATTTTTAATGGATATAATTTGTATTTATTTTAAAACACTATATTTTAAATTAAGCCTGAAAGAGCTTACGACGACACTTTGCCCTTTAAATATGTTTGTAATTTTAATTCTCTTTCTCGGCTAGACGTCTACAATATGTTATCGATTAATTATATACTTTTTGTTTAAAGGGTGTACAAGAGGTACAGAGCCATATGTCCGGAAGTAGTGCCGAAAAAAATGACAGGCGACGAACCAGTGAACATCCAAGTGCCACAGGAACGAATCGAGCAACTTCCCGAGCTCAAGGTAAGTTTATTGATCATTTTCAAAAAAAAATGTCAGTTTTTGTACTAAAATTTTCTAAATTATCAATCAAGTCTCTTCGATAAGCTCTCCTAGTTTTTATTTTTCTAATAATGTTGAGAACCTATTTTTTTCTTGAATTAATACACGTCACGTAAAGTGCACACAAAAATGCATTTGAAGAGTCAAATACGTGCACATTTTTTTGTTTGATAATCAAAATTTAACAAGAAATGCGACTGCCACCGTTTGTGATATCTCTGCGGCTACTTATTTGGGTAGTTAAAAATGTTGTACTATACTCGTACTTGTTCCAAAAAAAAAGGAAAACCCGTTCAAACAACGCATATGTCAGGTGTTCTCCAAAGAGGGCAACGGTTCGTTGAGTTTCGAAGATTTTTTGGACTTGCTGTCGGTGTTCAGCGAACAAGCCCCGAGGCAAATCAAAGTGTTCTACGCTTTTAAAATCTACGGTAATGACATTTGTACTACATTTTGAGCCGGTCCTTGTTAATGGGACATTTACATATTTCCTCTGAAATTAAAACAATTTTTCTTTCGAGTACCTACTTGTTTTTTTTTCCTCTCCGAGCATAGATTTCGACAACGACCATCACATCGGACCGACCGACTTGGAACAAGTGTTGAAGCTGTTGACCCGAGGTCAGCTTTCGGCCGAAGAAGTGGTCCAGGTGTGCGAGAAGGTCATAGAAGAAGCCGACGTGGACGGCGACGGGAAATTGTCTTACATGGAGTTCGAGCACGTCATACTGAGGGCGCCAGATTTTTTGGGAACTTTTCACATCAGAGTTTGAAAAATTTTCCATTTCCGACTTGTGAGCGCCCGTTTCGGCAAAATTATTATTCGAACACGCTTTTGTACGATTACCTTTTTTTTTCTTTTCATACGTTTAATGACGAGGACTGGCTTTATATGATTGCCTACCCGATCACAGATGTCGGTTACGAAGGATTTATTTATTTATATAATTATTTGTCAACTGGACCACCCTCACACCTGTAACCTCTCTCTTTTTACACTGTCCCTTTTACAAATTATACATCGTAAATACACAACATGATATTTTCTGAATATTGTTTATTAGTCTATAATAAAAAAAAAATGTGTTTGTTTTTTTAAAATTATGTACACACAGTTATACAGTACAAATATTGTTAACTTAAAATTAACTGTATAAATTGAGCTTTTTCCAAACGACATGAGAAATATTGATTATACTTATAAATATTTTTACACGGCACCGAGTAAAATTACTGATGGAAATTTTTTTTTATGTAATACTAATTATTATAACTTTACATAATTTGTTTATTGGTTAGAGTTAACAACATTTTGGTTAAGTATTAAACATTTGTTTGCTTTGGATTAACTTTTGGCCAACTTTGTCTCGAGCGATACAATAATGTGGTCCCAGTGATTGTGAACAGGACCAGTGGCGGTCAAACGTCTTAAAAATCAGGTCCGCCACTGGATGAGGTAATCCGTTATGTAATTTACAAATCGCAATGAACTTTAAAACATTATGAGTAAACATTATACCACTTTAAGAAGAACGCTAGAATGCTGAGTGTTATTGTCGATAAAAACGATTGAAACAGTTACAATAAAGTGATTTTTTAAAAATATATATTCTAAAATTAATGTTAAGTACTTAAAGGCCCAAAAGCGTGGACTAGATTTTTTTTTCATACTTAATAAAACAATAATAATGGAAAATTGGTTAAGTAGTAGTTCTTAAAATATACATTAATTATAAATATTATTAATATACTAAATGCTAATATAAAATTAAGTATCGAGTTAATAAAAAAAAATTTAGTAAAATGAAAAAAAAAAACAATTGAACTAATATTTTTAAGAAAGAATGTTAAGGTAATTTTTCAAATTGTTGATTTTTTTTTACTATAACAAATATAGATAAGCCATCGCACTGAACGTTTTCTATAATCACATATAGTTTAATTCTTCCCACTTGCATTATCCAATTATGGAATATGATATGTGCACCTCTGAACACAAGATGGCTTAACTTAAATATTACAAAAAAAAAAAATCAACATTAGTATTTAAGTTATACTCTCCTTAGCATTTCTGGAACCCACCCAATGTCAAATTACTGTGTAGCTTTGGTGAATTATAACCAAATAGTTTCCACACACATACACAGTACACTCATATTCTTTTGAATGCAAAGAAAAGTTGGAAATTTGTTTTTGTACATAATAATTTCTAACAAATGATTTATGGTATTGTTGCTGTTAGCTAGTTATCTTTATTGTAATTTATGATCGCATTGGGAGTGAAAATGAAATTTAATTAAATGTGATTTTGAGTAGTAATGTAAGTATTGTTAAAAAAAAAAAATTATAATTCTGCTTATTATATATTATTTACATAAAGAAAAATTATTTAATTTTTTTTTATAAAAACAAAAGTTAAGATATAAATTATAATACTGTATAAGTACCTTGGGAAAAGTAGCTTAACTTTCTGCCTTTAATTAATGATGTAAAAATAAAAAAAACTTATACCTAATAAATTAATTTTTTTGTTGTGAAATACTCTTACAAAGTAAACAATAGCGTTACTTTTTAATACACAGACGGCACTGAATCATATAGTATTACTTAATGCATTGAATAACTTTCCTTTTTAATCATAAGTGATATGAGTAATCTGCTGTAAGCCATTTTTGTTTTCACAATGTACACAAACAGAATTTCCCAAACAATTTCTACCCCTCCCACTTTACAAGGACTGTGTGACTATTAAGTCCTCCTGGATGGTGGTGTTTATTTAAAATACACCCAGTATAACTAGTAGTACATAAATAAATACAATAGTTGTGTTAGTCGATACCAGTAAGTTACAGGCTTTGTTTTAAACACTTGTCATCGGTTCAAACCCAATATTGGTTACGCCTGAGCATGGGATTGTTCTGTTCGGTACCGTCTGCGGTACTGCTGCTGCAGTACTCTTCATCAGCAGCCCCGTATGGATACCTCATGTTGAACTCTGTCGTATCAGGTTCAACAGCTGCATGTTCAGGTGGACCCAGAGCAATGACGTTGCAACCCAGCTGTTGTTGGTGCTTAGCGGCAGTGTTGGCGGGCCTGGGCGAGGTTGTCATCAAGTCGTCGGGCGGACAAGGCAGCGGCATGGGGTTCATCTTGTCCAGTTGTTCCGCCTGTTTTTTGGAACGGCATCGGACTAGAACGACTATTACCAGCGATGCCACCATAACAGCCATGATGAAGCCTACGCAAAGCAAATAGTCGTCGCTCATGTTGGGACTGGCAATTTCTACGGCGTTGCCATCGTTGGGTTTGCGCACCATGAATGTGGTGTGCTGCTTGGTCAATGGAGTGGACGACAGCGGATGTACAGTGGTCGATGGTGGCTCGGCCACGGAAACATGGAACCTTAGCTCGCCAATAGCCGGCTGCACACCATTGGCTGTCAACAGGAACGGGAAACTGTCCTCGACCGGATCCGGAACTTTCTTGGCCACAAAGTACACTATGCCGCTGGCTATCTCGCCGTGTGTGAATTTGGTAACGTCCACCTCGCGAATCACTTGCTTATCACCGGACCGGCGGACGATCTTCTTGAGTTTGCCGTACTTAGGTTTTCTGAGGATCTTGTACTTAGGATCCGACCCTGTGGTCTTGGCCAACATTTCAGCATTCAACACTTGCACGCCCAACTGTGATTTGAGCCCAGTCAGTGGATAGAAGGCACCGGTCTTCACCAATGGTTCAACGCTTACGTTCAACCACAGGTCTCTTATTATGGGCGAGTCTTCACAATGCATTTGCGCGGACAACCGCAAGGCGTCTGCAGCCGCACTCAGGTCGGTCTGCCGGTACACAACTCGTCCTTCTTTGAGGTCTTTATGAGAAAACAGTTTTGATTTGGTGCCGTTGACGTAGACCACACCGTGTCGGGCGCCCATTGTCACGTTATAAGCCACCGAATCCTTATCGCCGTTGGTTTCCACATGGAACAGCTTCTCGTTGACAATTGTCTCGTATGTACCCTGAAGTAATGGCAGTGGCAGAGACACAGTCACATTGAGTGTGACGGGTATTACATAGATCTGAAATACTTTATATACAGGGTTGAACTGGCCGTCCCATACGCGGAAGTAGAATGACGTGGGTTTGAGTTGTCCATCATGCTTATACACCACTTCGCCGGCATCAATGTCCGCCTGAGTGAAACGTGCTGAGTTTTTGATGCCGGCTAAATACACAGTGCCATACGAAGGACCCGTGATAATGTCGTAGACGATTTGCTCTGGAGGTGTATCCGGGTCTTCAGTAAGCAATTCAGTTCTGGTCAATGTGACCGACTGGCCTTGGACTAGTTTTAAATTGGGGTACGACTGTGTGAGGAAGAATGGCTGGTCGTTGACTGGCACGATGCTCACCGGTACCGTGACGTTACACAGTGGTACTGCCGTTGGTTCAACATCCAAGAACACGGAAAACTCCAGGCTGTCGGATAGCGTGTCCGAATGGTCATGTACATATCTCACCTGGTTTCGGCGCATATGGCCCTGAGAGAACGTCCGTCGGTCACAGTCATCGTCCAGGCACACATTACCATGCTTGGGTTCGTTTGTAAGTTCAATCTTAATCGTAGGCGACCTAATGCCAATGCTGTTTACCAAGAACGTCAAAATGGCAGTCGTGTTCAGGTTGACGATTGTTGATTCACCTTCTTTGACCACCAGCTCTTTGGTTTTATCACCAATCAACAGTTCTTCAAGACCACCCGAAGAAACTGTAATTTCTACGTTAAAAGTCTAAAAAAAAAAAAAAATTACAATATATAAAAAAGTACTAAGACATAACAAGAGTTCCCATTCTTAAAACTTAAAATTGTTGTATGTGGACCCAAGGTTTTATTTTATCTACTCCCTTTGACCCTTGGATAAAATTTATCATGTAGATCATCTTCCTAATGGTACTTTACAATGCAAAAAATAAAAAAATTAACCATTTCCTTACAAAACCAGAAAAACACTAAACATTTACACACTTCTAAACTTAAAATTATGACACACTATAACTTTTTGAAAAATATTCCTAGCATCTACAGATTTAAATTGAACTGTTCATTTGAAAGTGATTATACTACTTTTAGTTATAATAATTCCTGAATATATATATCTACAATAACAAATAAATTTTGACCAAGATCATATTATGTTTTTATTTTCTGTACATGATTTATAGTTTTGCCAATATTTGATATTTTAAATATAATTTTTTTTATTTTTCAAGCTAAACATTTTTTAAAAATAAACCTTACCTGATTTACAATTGGAATTGCATATTCACAAATTACATCAAAAGTGAAAGCATCGTTTGTCGTATTGCTAGAGAAATACTTTGAGATGTGATGATACCAAATAGCCGAGTCGTTGATGTTTTTCTGAGTGAAATTTGTTATAGCCATTTGATTTGAGTCTTCAAATGAAGCGCTTTTAGATACGATGCCATATCTGGGAGCATTTCTCACCACGTAAGTCGCTAGATAATTTGGATCGTCACACTGAGCTCCTAAGTGTTCGGCGGTAATTTGTCGACCGAGCATGGGAAACACTCTTAAAGGGTTATTGAGCAGTAACTTCACTGAAGCCTGTTCGGCCATTATGTGAAATTTTGCAACACCAGTTGAATGAAGTCCATCGTTGGCTGACAGTTCTAATTCACCATCACAAAGCTCTCCAGAGTGTTGAAAATAAACAATGTTTTGATCAATTTGGGCTTGAGTAAATCTTTCAATACGCTGCGATTCAATAACCACATGACCACACCTCGATGATGTCACCACAAAAGTAAGATTCGAAACATCCGTATCTTTATCTTCAACCGCTAAAATTGGATATTTTATGAATAAATTATTGTTTTCTCTATTAAGCATTACAAATTATGTATAATGTATATATTTAAAAAAAAATCAACCTACTTAAGTTATCTGATGTTATTAGTCCTAAACCGCCTTTCCACAATTTTATACCAGTGTTTCTCATTATTGACGGTCGTTGATTGTTGACCGGATTTACTTTTACTTCAATATCAACCGGAGCACTTTCTTTATCGTCTGATACTGCTACTTTAACCGAAAAGCTATCGTCTATACTTTCAGAACCATCATGAACGTACTGAAATGGTTTTGTTTGATTTAATGTTTTATACAGAAAAAAAATCAATGCCTCTTACAAAAACTAACACAGTTAGTAAAAATATTATTTGACATTTACCATTATCTGTGATCTTGCTAGTTGTTTGGGGCTCCAAAAATCTATGGTCGGGTCAAACGTATCAGCCGTAGTTCTCACGATACGTCCATGGCTCGGTGCACTGACCAAAGAATAACGAGACACTCTATCGGTATAGTATATACTCGCAACAGGAAATGTGTCACTGCTCAATGTTACGTTTCCACCTTCAATGACATTCAACTGAGAGCTGGTCAAGTAGACGTTTTTCGGCACAATTACGAAACTAATCTGAAATTACAATTTGTTGTTAGTAACAACTATTTGCACTTAATTTGTACATTTCACACTTACAACAAGACCATACAACGAAACTACTCCGTTAGTGATGTCCACTACGAGTCTATCAGTGCTTTGATTCATAGTGGACTGCACATAATATAGATGACCACTGTTTATCAGACTCTGATTGAACGTAGTTAGATGATTATTTTCTGGACTACTAGGATCTTCTTCGTTAGACTCTTTTTCTAAATACCCATAACGTGGCTGCTCTTTGACCAAGTACATAATGTCCGAAGGCGGTACCAATTCTTGCTTTACTTCCAAGTACTGTTTAGAAATAGCGATAGTTGTTGATTCGTCCACAATTATCGGAGAGTTTTTCGTTACTATAAGTGGTTCCCAGTAATGCTGCGGTAAAAGTCTAATATCGAATTCCAATTCCCGAGACACGGTGCTACCAGCAGAGACCCTGAATAGAACTCGATCTCGAACACTCTCCACATCTCCGTTGTGACGGTAACGGACGTGGCCGGCTTCAAGTTCAGCTTGACTAAAAATAGTGGTTTTTAATGGTTCCAAATTAGTGCCCAACTCGATTTCTCCTTGGCCAGGACCTTCCACCACTTGGTAGCTAAAATTAAAATCAAAATAATTTTATAAAATTATACCTTTTAACATGTTAGTTAACAAAATCCACTCACTTGATTTTGTCGGAATGTATATTTAAGTTGGTATCGGCATAGAGATGATTTGTAGTAATAGTGGCAGCGCCACCTTGTCTCAACATTAACTGAGAATTATTTAATATTTTAATGAATGGCGGTGAAGATTCTACTTGAAGCTTAAGATCAATGGAATGTTTGCCATCATATACGCCGAGTTCCACGGCACTAACTCGGTTCTGTTTTGTTTCAGCCGAAAATTCATCACGGTAAATAAGTTTACCATTATTTACATCTTCCTATGATTGATTTATATACAAATTAATTATACCGCATTGTTGACTGTATTAACTAATGTTACTCTACCTGTGTAAACTTCATGACTGTGGTAAAAGGATTATTGACAGTGTTTAAAATCATTCCGTTTGAAATTGAGTTGATGGTGAAAATCAAAGATGCCACTGGTGTGTCAACATCTTTGTCTTGACACTGTAAATTATGGCTAGTTATAGTTCTATCGCCTCCAGTAACTACACGTAAGTTTTCTTCTGTTATACAACTCGGCGGGTTATCGTTGACCAATAGCACCGATACATTAACATAGCCTACATACTAAAAAAAAAAACCAGTTAATATTATAATTGATTACGTTTCCTGTATTACAATATAAACACGTGATTATTTTTATTGACTCGACTCACTTGGAAGTTTGCGTTTTTCGATGTGGCTAAAAATTTAAAATGATCTCTATTGTTTTCTGATCCATCATGAGAGTACGATAATGTGCCGTCGTACAAATCATCTTCAGTGAAAACAGTTACATTTTTAATTGTACTGTTGTTTATCAGTAAATGTAAATAACCATGTTCCGGGCCCGTCAATATCTCAAAACGCAATTGGTTTACACCAACACATTTAATAGATATGTGTTTATCAGTAAGCGGGGAAGAACTCCCTTCAACTACATCGAGGGGATGGATAAAAGCCGATACTGCTTGAGATAGTAGCAGACTAGGAGTGTATTCGAAAGTCAAAAGCTTAGAAACCAGAGGTTGACACCTAGGCGCACTAATTTTAATATCAAACAAATCGGAAGCCGGAGAATAGGTATCATGATGAAGCTTCAGCGTCAAAAGTCCCGATTCTATATCATTTTGTGTCCATGTTTCACCATCCACCAACGGATTATTTCTAGAATGAAAAAAAAAAATAAATTGGAAAAGGGGGAAAAAATAAATTGTAAATATTAAGTTATATTCAATTCAAATATTTTATAGAAAATAAAATAATGTGTTCATAAGTCAATGAGAGAGTTGTTAAATTTTTTGTTTTTAAGAAAACAGCGCGACCAAAGATTTTTAAACTTTTTTTTAAAAAATATAATACTGTATGTACTTTTTTTAATTTATGTGTTAAGAATAATACACTGAAAAAATCTTGAAGGGTCAATTGTCTAATTTATAATATTGTTAAAAAAACTAATATTAATATTTTCCAAAAAAAAGTGATCCTAACACAAATATAAAAAAAATCAAAATTTGCAGCTTAGCATTAAAACTAAAATACTTGCTACATTCTATTTCAACAAACCTTAAATACAACGACGCAGTATGTGAAGTTTTAACCAGTTCAAAAACTATAGAGCTAGGATGCAATAGTATTGGATGTGTTAATACTTTTATGGACTCGCTGGTGATGGCCGTTTCACTGGATGCTTTCCAATTAATTGGTCCAAATACATCTACTATCAGATGCACTTCTACAAAGTTCAACTCGAATTTGTAGGTGTCTCCCAATTTTACTTGGCCAGCCCAAACTTCAAACTAAAGTAAAGATAATATAAATATTACTTGGTCAAATAATTGTTTTTTTTTTTTTTAATTCAAAAATGTTAATAGTTTAAAATGTTGACAAGTACCTTAAAAAAATCTCGTACAGGAGAACCTTCACTATTGTGAATGTAACTAACAAGTTTTTTTTCTAACTGATGACTGTTAAATGAACTTATTTTTTCTTGAGCTTGTTCTCCATCAACTAATTTGATTGCTCCAAATTTTGGATGCTTAATAATCTAAATCGAAAATTTAAAATGTTTAAATCTATTGCATAAGAAATTCGCTCTAAACAATTTGTACGAGTATTAGATTTTAATTATTTCAATTTTTAACAAAGGCACAATTTCATGGGGCATTTAGTATACTCAACTCTGTAATTTTAAATTGATCAAATTAAACAAAATCTCTTTAAAAACAATAAATATAACAATTAAGGCTATTTGAACAGCGCTAACATTAAATTTTTTAATTTTGAGTCCTCAGAAATTGCGCCATTGGTTTTTAAGATAAAATCACCTTAAAAGTTAACTCTAAAGATGGATCGTCGCCATTTGTGATGAATGTTAAGTTTGTTGGTGTAATTACAACGGATGATCTATAAGCTAATATTGCGCCTGTATTTTGAATGTAAGTTAACGACAAACTGTAAACCAAAATTGAAACAGTTGTAATAGCACTGACTTTTTCACCATCAGACACCTAATAAAAATTATAAAATAGAATTAGATTTGAAAATAATTATTAACTTGGTATTGTTATTTACTTGAAATGTAAAACTAAAGTTCCCTGTATCATTTGATGTATGTCGATACCCAACATAGCCGTTATTCATTTGAGCAACAGAGAAAGTTTCAAGTGGTATGTTGGGATTGTCCAATGTTTCCAAATGACCACCACTAATATTTAATACAGACATAATAAGTCTTTCAGCACTAGAATCTTTATCGATTACTACTATCTTGTCCTTGTCTATGACTTTCCATGTTCCCTACAAAAATATATAATATATACTAACTTCACAAAGTTTTTTTTTTCAAACAACAAAATAAAATAACTTACAGTCACTCAGAAAAAAAACAAATTTCACACTGACAAAATGTAGCTATTGCATGCTAACTCACTAAGTATAAACTAAAAACAATAAATAAAACTCAAAGCATTAACAAAACCAAACGCGAAACAAACAAGCAATTAATATTATGTTTGTCATAATAAATTTGATTGATTAAATGTTATTATGATTATTATTATTTACTTGAGCTAAGTGTAAATTATAATCAGACGCTATCCGTACGACTGGAGTGTCATTTTCAGGCGTTATATTTACAGGTAATGCAAATCTTTGTCGTCCTTGCAAATATTCGGGTAGCAACAATCCTTCGTTGGAAACAAATTCAAGATCTAGAGTCACTAAATCTTGTGTACTTTCTGAACCGTCGTGCACATAAGAAACCTATATAACAAATATACAAAATTGATAGTTTTATTGTAAAAAAAAAAAAAAATGAACATGTATTATAATATATACAAGCAATCTTTTTATTAAAAATTGAATTACCTCATTTTTCAAAATATTTAGCATGTTAAATGTAGTAATTGCATTGCCAGTAGAGGTCTTTGAATCGATTACCAGTTTTCCATGTTTGGCGTACGGTTGAACGACGTGAAATTGAACGCCAGCTTCTCTAATCCCGTAATGGTTATAATCCATGATAAGATTTATAGATGATGTCGTTATACTTGCTGTAGATCCTTCAATCACAATTAAATTGCTTACTGTCAAGACTTCAATAGCAACTGGTAAAGGCACTTTCATCATTGCCTAAAAAAGTAGTATTAGACATTAGTTTTCATATAAAATTTGTACAAATCATTTGCGTTTTTAAAGAAGACATTTTACTTTGTGAGTTTGAATAAATTCGGGACGAACACATTGTGGATCATTATGATCTTCACATCCAGTACATTTGAACGAATTTATTCCGACTGGCGAACAACCAACATCGGGCGAATGAACACAAGGTTTTTCTGTGCATGGATATGACCAGACACATCGAGAAATAAGCTTAGAAGTATCAAGAGCGTCGGGCAGACCGAGCGCCCGACCGTCACTTGAAATCCCACGGATACATCCTTTAAAACTGTTGCTTGCTGATAACATGCCAGACGTTAAAGCTCCACTTCTCATATTAACTTCTAGACCACCGACGTAGAGCTAAAAATTTAAAAGGAAAGTAGTAATTTTGTTTTTACAAATTTTTTCTACTCCACAATAACTAAACTTACAACAGTGGAAAGATCTAAATGTTTTGAAGGCAGAGCTGAATTATTGAATGCTAATCTGTATCTATGCTTAGGCGCATCAATAGTAACATCAAGTCCGCCAGCCTCCATTGCTACATTTATAGAATGCCAGACTCCGTCGTTAATAGCAGCATCCGACAATAATTCAGTTACGCCCGAACCCCAATTTTGAGCAACACGTATTTTTCCATTTACTAGTTCTACGCCAACAAAATCCACATTTCCACTATGTCTACCCAAAGTAGAACTCTTCTTAGAATTGTAGAGAACTAAACCAGTTTCTGATATAGTTTTAATAGAAAACTGCCATCTTTAATTCAAACATAAAATTAAATTAATTGTTAAGCAAAATTCTTAATTAACCTCACAAAACAATCACATACTTCACATTGGTCCGAGATGTTAATACACTAGGTATAGCCATATAAGCACCGTCTTCTAGAAACGATATACTCGATTCTCTAGGTGCGTCAAATTCATTCACACAGCCCCACGATATTGAGTGAGCATCTGCTCTACCCGTTCTCCAACGTGCTCTGCTCAGAACGTCTGGCACTGCGTTATAGCGAACATCTCGCAAACAACCGCGTAAGCCATTTGTGTGACCCAAAAATAATTCTGAAAAATCACCTTGCCCTCCGATGTATAAGCCACCATACATGTTCAATTCATAGAATCCAATTGGCAATTTCTCTCTAATCCAAACAAAACATTATTATAAAAAAAAAAACTTTTTAAAAATATTTTTATTTTTTTTATAAAATTTGTAACGTACCTGACAACGTGAATTTTATCGACAGCCAAATTAAGATCACCTTCCTTGCGCGATATATTCACTGAATGCCAGTTGAGATCATCGAGACGTAGTCCTCTCGGCGACGATATTTCCGATTCGCCAGCTCCGAGGTTGATTTTCACTTTGAGGCGGCCCGCCTCCAATAACACGAAACAATAGTCCGTTTTGCCGGCGGCCAAAAACAAGAAAGCGTCCAAGTGTTTGGTGCGGAACGCAAAACTGATCTCCGTCGTGCTCTTGGCGTCTTGATACGGTACATTGACATGGCTGGATCCGTAAAAGGACGCTGTAGGAAAACAACAACGTTTTATTGTTGTCATTACGATTGGGACGGAAAATAACTGTAGGCTATCGGATAAGTAGGTATGAGTTATAGCCTGGCACGGGGTACTTACCGATTTCGGATGAACAACAGTGCAATAGGGCACACAGGCCGATCAGCGTCAAGTGACTGAAACGATAGTTTATCGACGGCGGCATCGGCATTTCAATGGAATCATTAATAACAACAAAGTGATTTTTTTACTTAATACATTTTTGGAGGAAACCCGCCGATGACGCGAGACGACTACTACGATCGGCGCCGCAGATGGCACGAGTTAAAAATACACCTTGAACGCCCATAACGCACTTACTCACCCCTCGTTATTCATTCACAGTTTCTCGCTTTAGACTAATTAATAATTTGTCTAAATTTAGCCCCCGCTTTTCTTCTTATCATCGCACTGTGAGTGTACACTAGCGTCCGCGAGTCGCCACTCGCCACCGCTCTCAGTGCTGACTACCACCCACCACTTCCTCCACAAAAAAAACAAATTGCCGATAGGTGTGAAGGGAACTGGGAAGGAATGGGTAAACTGCAGTCTCGGCGCACGCCCCTCGCTACCCCGCCTAACAGTTATCGTTTGGCCGTCCCAGATTGGTCCCGCTGGGTTATCATTTCCATAACCATATTATCAATTATTGTTTATTTTGTAAGCACCGGCCGCCGCCGAATTTAAAATGTTATCAATTTACTAAGTAACCTTATTTTTCATTCAAAATTAAACACAATTAGTATGTTATTATATAATTAATTATAGTTGTGCGTATAAGTTCCAAGGTGTGTAATAATTGATACACCTTAATACTGTATTAGTCGCGTCACTTGAAGCAACATTGATCCTAGTCGCCTAGTATTTGTGGTATACACGATTGAATTTTTATAATTATCTGTAATTAACTTTAAGTATTGGAGTGGAAAAGAACACACAACTTGAACAGCACATATATTAATTGAACCATTAGCAATTTAACATATTTATTTATATAATTGCTATCCTGTGTTTATTCCTTGTATGTGAGATACGACGTGACTTGGAATGTAATAACCTATTCTTATCTAACCTAACCTAACGGGATTTCATTTTTTTATTACCATAATATTATTCATTATCATATTATCATATTATTAATATCATTTTTTAATTGTTCCTTGTACACACTTTTGCTTTTCAAGTTTTTATCGCTCTTTTGACAATTATTATTATGTATTTGATTGATCAACAGCGAACATAACACTATTGACTTTTAAAGTCCTAAACGGTAAGATGATATCTAGTTTTCTGTTACAATTTGTATGGTTGTTGTTTACTACTGTTCATAAATTATAAAAAATTCAAATTTCCCTTGGTTTTTATTGTATAATAAAATAAAATGTACTAAAATAGTATTAGTAATCTTAGATTTTATATTTTTCAGATTATAACTGTTAACATTAAAATGAACAAAACATCGCCACTCAATACACAAGAAGAAAATGAGTTAAGACAATATGTTAAGTCTTTTCCTGAGTTTCCCAAACCCGGAATAATTTATGAGTAATTATGATTATATTATTATTTTATAATACATAACCACAAGTGTTGCTTAAGTTTTTCTATTATTAATATGTAGTTTACAGAAGTTTACATTGTAGTCTACTGTATAGACAATTTCTATTGCATTTGAGAAAACTGGAGAAAATATTTTTGATAAAATTGTTACTTTTTTAAAATATTTTATTTTAAACATTTTTAGTGATTGGGCGCCAGTGTTTTCAAGTAGTATAGGTGTATCATTAATAAACAAGCTATTGAAAAAATATGCTGAAACTTTGCGTGGAAAAGTCGATTGTGTAGTGATGTTAGAATCAAGAGGATTTTTAATCGGACCGATAATTGCTTTACATTTAAACGTACCATGCATACCAGTTTGTAAGAAAGGAAACTTGCCAAATCCGGTGATTGAATTATCATATTCTTTGGAGTATGGTAAGGTAATAACTTTTTGTAACTTTTTACGCGTAAAGTACATATTTAGTCTCAAATATTTGATTGAAAATCTGTTTTAGGATACAATAGTCATTCAACCAGATAGTGTTAAAAAAGGAGACCGTTTAGTTGTAGTTGACGACTTTCTTGCTACTGGCGGTAAGTTAGTTAGGTTATCTAAGCATCATCAGCTTCAATGTGTAGCTGAGAAAGTATAATTTTTCAATCACATAATATATTTTAACACTTGTTATATCAAGTGTGATTTATAATAGCTACAAGAGGACTTGTTATATGACTCATATTCTAAAAATGAAACTCTTTGACCTTTGATGAATATTGGAGGCCAAAATTATAATTAAAATAATGCAATATATGTAATCTATGATTGTGTTTTGTAAGAAAACTAATTTTTATTGGACATTTACAGGGACACTTAAAGCAGCAACGACACTCTTGACCAAAGTCGGTGGGGTTGTCGTTGAGTATTTTGTTGTAATGGAAAAATTGTTTTTAGAAGGAAGAAAAAAATTAGAATTTCCGGTGATTTGTTTTATATCCGACTAATAAAATTATTGTACAAGAACTGTACATCACAAATTAGCTATACTAATATTAATGTTACTACACTATTTTGAATCCAATATTAAAATCATGCCATGTATAATAATTAATAATCATATATTACTATACTTTAGTACACAATTTGTATTAGGGAAATCTAATTTTTGTACATATCATATATTACTATATTGTTTCAATGTAAATATTATTTTACATTTGTTTTTTTTTAATTAAGTAAAATATTTTTTTTATTAAAGTTTATTTAAGTTTAAACAGATCATCTTATTATTGTTTTTGAATTAAATTGAGAATTTGAGTTGGTTTGAACCATTATGCTTAAAAATTGATGTCCATGTGAAATAATCCTTAGTTTTATCAATGAGGCACATTCTAACTTACAATATTAAATTTAAATAAATCCATTGTATTTTTTTATCACCTCTGATAATTAAAATGATTAACAATTGGATATTTAAGCAATTGCATTAATTATTTAATTTAGTATTTTTGCTTGATATTTATTAAAATTAACAAGCATCATTTAATTTAGCCATCATCAGTCACGTTAATATAATAAGTCCAACCCAATACGATACATGCATTTTTTTTATTTGTAGTTATAAATCATTTATTATTTGATACAGAAAATAATAAATTGTTTGAACTGTGGTCTTTTTCACCTCTTATCTCTTAGATACTTGATAGCAGTAAGCAGAAAATAATTATTATCAAAATTCATATAAATATCATGCTACTAGTTAGGGAAGTACTATCTAGTTTTTTTAATTTGTTTGAACACTTTTTTTTAATTTTATTTTTATCTTTTTAAGTGAGCACCATCTGCATCATTATTGAAATATGCAAAGTTATTGCACATATAGCCTTTGTTCGTCAAATATTTGATGATAAAAACTAATATGTCAGCGTAACGGGCAGCCAATAAAAATCAAGTATATAAGTACACTGTAAATGTAATATAGTACTCGTAATAGTAAAGTATATAGTAAAATTGATATTCCGTTACGCTAATATTTTATTTCTGAAGAAGATAACAATTCGAAACCAAGTGCATTAGTCTGTATATTTCAAGTAGTATAGTCATTTCTTGTGCTCGGTAATATTATTACTAAGTATTACTGCAGACACTTGTTGTATTACATACTACAAATTAGCATTCTAAATTCTTTATTATATATAACAACTACTAAGAATTTTTAATGAGCGACTCGTTGAGAGTATATTATGAAACAATTTGAACAATTTTTTTTAGTAATTAGTCATTATAGGTACTACGTCTATACTAAAAATTTGTTGTCTCTAGTTAAATTATTGATATTAATGTTTACAATTTTTGTAGCGTAGATTAAATATGAGTTATTATTTTATTACAGTCGGAGAAACTATCAATTAAGCTAAAATGGCTACTACTTCAAATTCAGAAGAGGATATCGCTTGCTTAAAAAGTTATATAAAGTCGTATCCAGATTTTCCTATACCAGGCATTTTATACAGGTAATATTAAAATGTAAATAATGAAGTTTTAGATTTGTCATGATATTATTAAAAAAGTGTAAAGCGAGTGAAATTTGTTAAAATTTGTGTGGTAAGAACTGTCTGCGTGTGGTTTATGCTGACACAACACTTTTTGACTTTTCCAACAGTTTAAATCCAGTGTTATTTTGTTTTGTTTTAATATTACATTTATTTATTTTTAGGGATATATTTTCTGTATTAAAAAGCAATGACGGATTACAACTGTTAAATAAAATTTTGAAAAATTATGCCGTTGAACTGAATGGGAAAATAGACTGCGTAGCCATGTTAGAAGCTCGAGGCTTTTTGTTGGGCACCCTTATGGCAGTTCATCTTAACGTCCCTTGTGTTCCTATTAGAAAAAAGGGAAAATTGCCGGGTCGTGTAGAACAATTGGAATACACACTAGAATACGGAAAAGTAATTTAAATTAATTATTAAAATTAAAATTAAATAAATTGGTTTTTAAGTGAATTACAAGTTTAATGCTATAGCTTAAGTTATAAATACTGTGTAATTTTCGGGATGTGGGGTGAGAACATTTACCGTTAGTCAGAGGGAAGTTCCATAAAATGTTGATTTCTTTTTGAGCCATATACTAACAATCTATTTGTATATAACCTAAAACTTCCAACTGAAAAAAAAAAAAAATAAATAAAAAGTCTATAGCCAATTTTACCATTTTATCAATTTATCCAACAATGTGTGTAAAATAGTAATTGAAAGTTGACAAAATCATACTTTATTAACAAGTGCATTATTTGTAATTTAGTTAAAATCTAAATAAACAGTTTTACTAATAATAATAATTTTCAAGTGACTGATGGATTTTTACCAGAACATTTCTCTTGATTAACATATCATACTGATATAATAGGTTTTAATTTTTAATGACGATGTTGTCTACGCCAATTACATAACTGTTGTAGGTATATAGTATTAAAGTAATTTCATAAACGCACCAGTTTTCAATTGATCAAAATAATTTTATTGTGATTTATGATTGTGATTATTGCTATGTTCAATTGGATTGTATTAGTTGACTCGTAGAGAGCGTTCTAAATAAAGTTTTTTCAACATTTGGCTGCATTATCAAAAATAATTAAATTTTTTAAATTTATAAATTATAATAAATAGTAGTTTATAAAAAAATTGGCCTATAATAGATGTAAGAATGGTGCCTACTTGCCATTTAGGATTGGTTCATCAGCTGTGGGCGGCTTTTTTCTTGTTGAATCAATCTTTTATTCGTCACTTCAGAGTAAAGGACATATTTGCCACCTTGATAGATAACCAGTAGTTGTGGTTGAATTAACAGACAAAAGTTTCTAAACATTAACTTGAATATAAAATAAACGTTTAGTTGTTACACACTTCATACATTTTATTAAAATATCCTTAAACAAATTTATCAGCTTGAATTGTTGATGAAAAATAATTACTTGGTCATGTGTCATACTATGTCTTCTCTTTATGGGACCTCTACACCTGTGTTTTTTGGTCGAAAACAACTCATTCTACTTCAAATGTACAGTTCCTAAGAATACTCTGATTTAAGTTTTGAAAAAATGTTTGAATTCTTAATAACATTTTCAAGGCATTGATCGTTGCATAATTGCAACAATTGTTTATTAATAAATTATTTCAGTTTAAAAAAATTAAAAATTGCAGTTTTTTACATTGAAATAATTAATTACCTTGAAAGAATTTTAAAATTGTGTCATGATCAATGCCTTGGAAATTTGATGAAGAATTAAAATGTTTTCTCAAAACTTAAATCTGAGTATTTTTAGGTAAGTTCTGTTCAAAGTAACAACATATGTTTTTGTACAAAAATAAATCCTATATGCGTTATAAAAATTTAAAAAAAAATGAAATATCAAAATAGATCCTTCTTTTCTATAGTAATATGTACATTTAACATTTTTAGTTTAATGTCAAGTTTATATGAAAAATTGCATTTACAATGCTGTTTAATAAATGTTAGTGTAGAGGCCCCTTAATAAAATAATCGGTAAAAAGAAATCAACTGCTTGATGATTAGTTTTAATCCTACCTGATAATTCTAAAAATAGAGAACTTCATTTTTAAAAATAATAATAATATTAAATGCAAAGTTTAAACCTAAAAAGAAAACTTAGGTAGTACGTTAATTAAGGTTCTTTTACAGTAGAAATACTGTAAAAGGAATTGCCTCTGAAGTAATATTATTTTAAGTTAAATACAATTTTCTTTGTAAAAGTTCATTTTAATTTGATATCATTAAAGCTGAAGATAAAAAATATGTTTTTAAAAATATGCAAATAATAATTATATATAAATATTACATATTATTATACCTAGTAATAAAAAACCATTTAATTTAAACACAAAAGCTCGAAATGACGGAAAAACGTAGTCTTTAAAAAGTTTTTAAGGAAATTAAAACAACTTTTTAGCGCAACAGCCGTCATCTTCGACCATTAAAAAATCTGAAAAAAATATTCCTCAAGTACCACCATGTGACCTGAGGTACTAAAAGTTTTTAAGAAGAAATTATATCGCTCTAAAAGAAGTCTGTAGACTAAGCTATTCAAAAATACACATAATCCTAAAATTGTTCAGGTTTTATTCAATTTTTTAAAATTAATGCAGTAAATTACATTCGGTTTTCATTTGTGACAATCAAATTTGCTTATATAATTATGGCGGTCATTGTTTTTGAACATTTAAATTCACTTTGACGTTTTCCCTTTATGTCGAGCCAATAACCGCAATATTTCTAGTTTTGTCGTTGTAATTAATAACAGGACGTGCTGGAAGTTCAGTTGGACGGCATCCAAGCGGGTCAAAGGGTTTTGATCATCGACGATTTACTGGCCACCGGTGGTAAGTGAAGGTTTTATAATTAATAATTACAAAGACAGGGCAATTTTGTGTAATAATATGTATACGGTCGGTCTTAAGAGGGCGTCGCACCGCCCATTTTTAAGGAGTAAAGTATAGGCAATTTTTTACAAAATCTTAACTTAAAGTTTAAACTGTGATGTGTAATTATTAGTTCAATAACTAGGACTCTATTTTGGTAGTTAATTTATTATTTGGACTATCACAGCATCCTTGAAAGCGATTTAAAAATGTTTTTTCATCTTTACATGTTTAAGCAGACTGAAAATAACTCGCTTAATTTTGGTATTAGAGTAAAAGCACCCATTATAAAATTAAAAGAAAGCAATATTCCGGAGGGCAAGACGGTCCGTTTTTTTTCATTATTCCAAGTATAACGCTCAAATACATAGATTAGAAATAACGACTATTTTAACATTTTTAAATGACTGTAACTTTTCAAAAAATGATTTTCGTCTTGCCTCCGGAATATTGTTCTCTTTTAATTTTACAATTGGTGCTTTTACTCTAAAATCAAAAGTAAGCGAGTTATTTTCAGTCTGCTTAAACATGTTTTTACCACTGAAAATCACCGGTGCGACGCCCTCTTAAATGATCGATCTAATTATTCTAAATGGCGGTGGCATACGTGTAGAGAAACTGAAACTGTGTGACTTCCCGACTTGTGGCCAATAGCGCCAAGATTGGACGATTTTTATTTAGCCTGAATCCAAAGATCTGTGATGACCTTGAATCAATGAATTAATCTGCAGACGAATGCGGTGTTAGGGCAATTGTTTCCGCCCTGCTGCTTATAGATGAGACCGTCGGACGCGGTCGACAGTAGGGAGAAAGTTCGAATGATGGACTTCCGTGGTACGCTGTGCAATATATTATTCGCTTTGGTCCATCTTGAAAACGGCTTTTTTTCCACCGGCCTGGTCGCAATCATAATAATATATGAGCTACCCACAGCAATAATGCAAGGAATCAAACATTTAAATAAATCCCAAGGCGCGGTCGGGTACGAGAGCTCGGCCGTTAGATATACCAAAAGTATGCCGAGTGTAAACAAAACTCTCGGCAGTTAAACACGCGGGAAATTATAAAACATACAGCATTTTTGAACTAAAGACCGTTTTGGAGCCGATAAAGAATGGACAGTTAATAGTTAAGTCAGGATCACAGCAGATGTGGGACGATTCGTTGATAGGCGAGGCCTAAATGACACGGAGGGAAGAAGGGCGGATTCGTTGAACAATGAGTCCATCAATAAGCTAGGATCAGCTGACAAGTGATGATTAATTGTCAAGTATTGAGGTGGAGGAGTCTTTAGCAACGGCAATAATTAACGAAATATGAGCTAAAAAATACTAAATTATAGACATTTTGGTGGGATAAGTAAAGTATTTTGTGATAACGGATAATCTCTTGGTTGATAATTTGTTTCAGTTAAATGTCTATAAATGTCATTAGTTAAAATAAATTGCCTTATTAAACACCAATCTATTCTTCCTTTCACAACTACTGCTGTTACTCTTAATACACGCTTAAACGATAAATAGTTTACCTTGTTTTGCAGGCACTCTGAAAGCAGCTATAGAACTTCTGCAGAAAGCCGGAGCTCAAGCGACTCAAGCTCTGGTCGTGATAGAACTATGCGATTTAGAAGGCCGCAAGAAAGTAGACATTCCAGTCAAATCATTCGTTCAATATTAAATATATTTTAATTATTATCATCAACTTTTGTCAATTACCACATCATTACATTTTTTCAATGAAAATAATAACTATTATGTTTTTTATGCGTAATTATTAGTTTGTTTTCTGTGATTTTTGTTTTTATAACAATTTATAAAATTATATCGAAAGGAGGATAAGACTAATTTTTGGTACAGCATATTATATAATATATATTATGTATTTATATACATCAACAAAGTATAATGCTCAGATATTAAATTAACCCATTTCTACTCTGCTACAACACTTATAGATTAACAAACAGTGCTTTATAGACTTATTGAATGTTTATGAAAATATGTGCAGGTAGATTCCACCAAACAATAACCTTTTGTTAAATGTAATTTCTTAAGTCATAACGGTTACTTTGGTGGTTCGTTTGTTTTTAAACTGTGACTTCCAACTGCTTCTGATGGACTCATTTCAAAGAAAAAGTATCTGCTATATTAACTATTATTATTAAAAAAAAAAATAATAAAAACTTTTTAAAACCATGCTTTTCTAAAAAAAAAATAATTTGATTACAAGAACAATTATTTACCAATCAATTGTAGCATATGTTATTTAAAATGTCGATTACTTTGAAAACAACCGAAAATTAACTACAATTTTAAATAATGTTAAACATCTTTAATTTTTGACTAAAAAGAAAAGCGTGGGCTCTATTCAACAAAGTCCAAATTCATTGAGTTGAGTGTTATGAAATGTATGAGTCACACACAAATATTAAACTAAATTTAAATTACAAAAGAACTTACAATATAAAACATTATCTGATCAATTTATAGGGACTTTGTTGAATAGGGCCCACGCTTTTCTTTATAGTAAAAAATTAAAGATGTTTAACATTTTTTAAAATTGTAGTTCATTTTCGGTTGTTTTCAAAGTAATTGACATTTTAAATAAAATATGCAACAATTGATTGGTAAATTGTTCTTGTAATCAATTTATTTTTTACTTTTTAGTTCACTTTTTACTATTTTTTTTTTAGAAAAGTGTTTTTAAAAAGTTTTTTTTTAAATGTATTTATTTTATTTTTTTGTATTATCAAAGATATTGAATAATTGCTGAATAGATTAATAAATTAACTTTGGAAGATTTGAAAAAAAATAAAATTTTAGTGAAATGACTCCCACCTTTGACCCTGTGTAGGGTGACCTGGATGTCGGAGTCCCAATATGATTACAGGATATTGTATTGTCACCTAAGATGAGTGTCTGTGCCAAGTTTCAGCCCCATACAACATTGGAAAGTGAGTTAAATTATTTTTGCAAAATTTGAAAAATACCCGTACAAACGTACGTACGTGTTAGCAAGCTAAAGAAAAACATGTAAATACATACAAATTAACTTTTATAATCAAAACATTGACAACCTTATATTTGCATAATATACAAATATTAAACAATAGTTATAATGCTAGTACTTAGGTAATGGTTAAATAAAAAAAAAAGACAAGCGATTAGAGAATACTTCATAAAAGAAATTGGTATGAGTATTGTAACATATGAGTTTCAAAGACGCAATTTGAGGTGGGGTTGGCAAGCTAGCACCCCCAAAATTGTGTTCCATGCGAGGGGACTTTTTCAGTGTTTAAAGCACCCCACTTATTTTAACGGTTTTTACCGATATATTACTATTTGTTTTTGGTATTTGTTGGTTGCAAAAAATCGTGTCAGAAAAGTAGAGCTTTTTCACAAAGCTATGGAGTCGTCGGCGTCGTCCACTGGTGACCTGAACGGTAAGGGTGGACTCAGGATTGGCGTGACGGATTCGCCATCGGTGTCCACTATTATTGTTGGCGGCGATGCGGTAACGGCTGGATATCCTTGAGCTGTCGTCCGAATGGCGGTGGCCGTGTCGTCAAACGCTATTGACCGGATGGCGGCCAAGGTGTCGTATCCGTCGCAAGTCGTCGTCGTTGCGGCTGTCGTGGTGGCGGCCAACACTGCCCGCCGTTGGCGTCGACCGAACGTGCCCGTCGCCGTCATGGTATCGGCGCTTGCGGTGGCGATGGCGTAGTACGCCCCAAGACACCCGACTCCGCACTGTACCGGTATTTGTATGGACACGTAACCGGTGGCCGCCGGCGAGCAGTCCGTCCACACGATGTCGTCGAAGTCGATTTCCCATTCACTACAACGATTTTCCTTTTTGCTGGCGTCATTCACCACGTCCGGATTGTGGTCGACGTCGTCCACGGCCCCTACTAAAGCAGTCTCGGACATTGCCGGCCCTGGGGTCGCCGGTACAGGTTCTTTGTCCATCGTGTCCACCGTTCGGTAACCAACGGCCAACGTCCCGGACACTGCTGATGCTCCAGACGTGCGCCTCTTGTCTGTCGAGACACCCGAATCGGGTTCCATCCGTTTGGCCAATTTACTGCAGTGTACAGCCATTAGTGCGGCCGCCGCGGCTAGTATGGCAACACTACAGACAGTGGCCGTGTACGCCATGTATGGTAGGCGACCGACGTCCTCACTGGACGACGAGGATGTAGACGACGATGAAGGCGGTGATGATCCGGCGGCAGTAGATGGACGAGGACGCACGGTCACCGTGAAATTGGCTCTCGCGGTTCCGGCACGATTTTCGGCCAAGCACGTGTACTTGCCGGCGTCTTCCTTACTGGCGTTGAACACGTGTAGTTCAGCCGTCGTATTACCGTCCACGGACACGTACTCGGTAGCGTTATGCCGGTCTACGAGCTCGTCCCCAAACAACCACTCGACTGTGGCCGCCGGCGTGGCCATCACTAGACACCGAAACACCACGTCCTCGCCTTCGTGCACGTCTTGTACAGCCATCGCGTACGATTCGTAGTCCACTATCGGTTCGCACGCCAGTTCGATACTGGACACTGCCCTAATCGGCACGCCGGCATACTCGTCTGGACCCGCGCACACCGGTTCTACCGTGGCCGGCACGTGGCACTCGGACAACCACCGATGCATATCGATCATTTGGCAGTCGCACTGCCAGTCGTTTCGGTGCAGATCGACTCCGTGGAGTTGTTTTGGTAGCGTGTCTGGTCCGGGCACGTGTGTCAGCCGATTACTGTCCAATTTCAGCCAATCTAGGTTTCGAAGGCCATCAAACGCGCCGGCCTCAACCCGTTGTATTCCGCACCGACTGAGGTCCAGCAAAGTGAGCTGATTCAGGTGCCGGAACGCGCGTGCCGCCACTCGGTCGATCGGGTTGCCGGCCAGGTTGAGCTTCATCAGTGACGTGCACTCACCGAACGCGGTAGTGGGCACTTCGCGCAAACAGTTGCCCGACAGATCCAGATCGACTAGATTAGTAAGACCCCGGAACGCTCGATCGTGCACGTAGTACATGTTGCATCGGGCCGCGTGGATCCGTTGCAGGTTAGACAGGCCGGCCGTAAGAAATGTATCTCGAGGAAGACCTGCAGCCGACAAGTCGTTGTCCGATATGTCCAGCACTTGGGTGGCCGAATCGATGCCCAAACCGGTAACGGCCGTTACTTTTTTATTGACGCATTCCACCGTCTGCTTGCCGTTCTTCCACTTGCACGAACACCCCGCCGGACAGCCCGGCGTGGCTACCGACAGCCTGTCACTGTTGCCGTTCGCTGGCGACATCACTGTTGCCATTATCATCATCAGCGTAATCGTAGTGATCACCGCCGACGTCCATTGAACCATTACGGAGAGTCAACTCATTTTGTGTTTGTGATTCTGAAAACGAAAAACAAAATTGTTTAACGACTTACTTACCGGTAAGCACATTTATATTAACAGTTTATTTTTTACAAATCGAGTAGAATAACGGCGGGTAATATAACAAAAATTCTAGTGCCTTTTTCTCATGGGCTGACTAGCGTTAAAAGAACACAACGGTCCACCTATTCCTGGCAGTCATCGATGCGGTTAATAAGATTACGCGGTCACATTGATCTTAATAAACCAATAATACCAAATGGGCTTTGTAAAATTGATTTTAGGTACAAAACCACCGCACCCGCTCACAGCACTATCGGCTAAATTACACCACACACTTGCATTCACGTCGGTTACAAAATGACACACCGTAACTTTAATAATAACAACAATGATGTATATACCAACACATCGTTTACTCCCATCCGTCGTGGCTTCCTTTGGAGGTATGATAATAATATACAGTATGAATACCAACAGCTTTTTACTTTGTCCTTTTTATATATTTTTGTCATTCAACCCAATCTTGTTGTAACAGGATCCGTTAGAATTGTATAATGCATTAAACACAATCAACTGCTGTTTGGTAGTAAGGAATAGTTTAAAAATTTAAGTTTTTGGTTTTGACAAGAAAATGAAAAAAAAAAAACTATTAAGAGGACGTTTAACACCAAATTTCCTATCGTTAAACGTTAAGCATTAAAATTTTCAAAATCAGACTGTCTCCGAAGAATGTTATCTTTCGATTTTACAATACATATTTTGCTATGAATGGAGTAAAACGCATTTTGCGTAGCTATGTTTAGATGAAAAATAATTTAAATCACTGTCAATGATGCTGTCATAGTCTGAAAAATTGACTAACTATATAAAAAACGAGTCCTAATTACTGAACTTATAATTAAAAATTACAGTTTAACCGTTAAATTAAGATTTACCAAAAATCGCCTATACCTAACTTTTTAATCAATAGGGGGCTCTTTTAATAATATGTACTGTGTTAATAAACGATGTTTGATTGATAAGAAAGAATCCTACGACCATGATGTTATGAGTCTTATGGAATAATTTATGGCTTTTGTATGGGAAACATTGTTGGGCAATTATTGGGAATAAAAATAGAAAATGGAAGACGCTATAATGTAATATATATGTGTGCAATTAGTTGACAACAATATGTAAAATGGTAGATCCAATTTGACTTTAGATAGAAAACGTTAAGTAGGAATATTTGTTAAACCTGGCCATTTAATGGTGCAATTGTTGGCTTTTCTTAAGCCAAAATTCATAACAATTTTTTTTACATATTGATACTCCGATTTCTAGGCACATGTTATCTACATCGAAAATTCTTCGTTGTCCTATCATTTTCAGTAAGGATTTAAAAGGTTTTCAGATATATACACTAAATAAGAAGTGTAGTATGTGTTATTAAATCATAATTGGATATGTGTGGAGTGATAGTTTAGACAGCGACCCTTATAATATATATACAGTATGAGCGATAGGGATTAGAAGGGGGATTAAGATTTTATGTTAGGATTTTTATGAACAATTTTTCTACCGTTATTGTTATGTAACTATAGAACAACTACATGCAGTTGATAGTTTGAAAAACAGGCGGTGGCAGCGTAAGTCGAGCTAGGAGTGGAAAGTGCTCAGACGATAAATCAAAGGCGACAACAACAATTACGTTTTGGACGCTTGCGGGAAAAAATGCCGGGCCTGTCGAGATCCAGCGATAAAGAGGAAAAACCGTTAAGGGATGAGATAATACCGTAAAAGCCGCGGGACATGATGCAGGATTTTTGCAATTTTGACAATTTTACTATGCGTTAATGTTACAATTTATAATACACAATACTATTAATAATGTCTTGTATATGTGAACTGAGTTTATCATTAAGTGGTTTTTCATCGTCTAAAAAATATTCTGATCGGAAAAATTGTATTTATAAGTACAATTTTATTATAAAGTATATTTAATTTTTTTAACGAAATTTAAATCGAAATTTCCGGATGGAAACCTTTCCCCGGAATGATTTGTTTCCTCCCTTCAAAATGTAGATATTTTATTGAAATTTTGTTTTTTTTTTGCACTAAATACAAAATAAAACATTCAATTTCATTAAATTATATTCCATTTTGGAAATCTTGCTGCTGGGTTATTAAAAGTATGGATCGGAGTTTGGTTGTTTAGTTTTATTTCCTAAACCGTCCGGGAATTAAATTAAAATTATTTAATTTTACTATAGGCCTTCGGGAATTTGCCTCTATCAACGAAATAGCGCACGGACGAATGAAAGACAAACTCCATTTCACCGTGTCGTTTATCACCATTTAATGTTTTAACTAGTTTAGTTGGGTATCATTTTTTTCTCTCCAGAGTATGAAATATAGTATTTAATGTACATATTTATAACGGTTCGGATCCGATTTGACAACGGAAATATTCGGGTAGAGCTGATTTGTAAGTAATATTTTATCATATTTGTTTTTCGGCGGTTCTTTTTTTTTTGGCGAATGTTAATTATATTTTAATATTACATTTATATTTTATATAACATTGAAAGTTTGAAAATATGAAAATTATCATAATTTCACTTGCCTTTAAAGAAGAAAGGTTTTGTTAGTAAAAAAAGTACAATGACATAATAATGCGACTACATTGGTAAAGTATTTTATTTTTGCTTCAAGAACTTTTTACAAGTGCCCCCTGAGTCGACCTTTGCCTCACTACTTGTCATGGAAACTCTACGAGAATCACCGTTTCGCTTAGTCTTTTACACGGCAAATATCAACATAAAAAGACCCGGTTTATCTGGGTTTAAGTACAACTGCGAACACACTTTTATAATTTCTATACAAGACAATTTTCGTCTTGAGGATACTTACGCATTTTGTAGGTACTCTGAACTCTTTTTGGAAGTCAAGTGTTGTTTAGCGTCGATAATATAATTTACAATTTTTCACTCAACGTTCTTGGCTATTTTCAGAAGAATTTAGATTTGTCTTTGTACTTTGATTAGGTCATTAAGTATTTTAAATAATTGTGTTCTTGCACTTTTGGTGTTTTACATACCTACTTATACGATTTAAAGTTTATTGCAAAGAGTAGATAAAAACTAAATAAGTGTGTAAAATAAAAGTAGTAAAAAGGCATGTTGTTAATAAAGGTATCTTGTTTAATCGAATACAAAAACAACACAGATCTATCAATTCCGTACTAACTCAATAGTCTGAGAAAACCCTGTGTTTTAGAGCATGGCATGGAATATGTGTTTCTTTTTCGACTTACATAAATGTGTTATTATTTAATTTATAATTGCCCTGGATATGTATATAATATTCACTCCGATAAGTTGTGTGCTGGTGTCGTACACAACGTCGAATTTTGGGAAAATCAAAGGAGTCTTAAAATAGTTTTTTTTTCAAACGGTCGAGTTGCGATCCAAAATTAATAATAGCAAGGCATACATTTAGGTACAAAGTGTAAAGGAAGCTGCTGGGAGGATGGATGCGTACCGTCATCAAACAAGTGTTCTGTATGAAAGTCTCGTTTTAAATCGCAGATAATGAACTTTCTTTAGAATTAATAGGCACCCTTCCGCCGTCAACTAGTGCCCTCGGCGGCCATTTGACGGGGAACTCTGTTACTTTAAACGATAAATATTCCAACCCTATTATAACTACTCGCTGTTGGTGATTAATTTTTCTTAATCTACCGCACACAGAAACACCGTGTAACATAATATATTATAGTTACCGAGGAAACTATGATGAAAACATGCAATTTTTTTTTTGTAATTGCTGTGCTGTCATTTATTAAACTCAACTCACATTAACCTTTAGAGAATGAATGTTTACTTAACCTTAAATAAAAGATTTTAATAAAACGATTAAAAATAAAGACTTTACTATAGCTATTGTAATTACCTATTCGACCGTGATAAGAGATTCTGATATCACTGAAGTAGTTATATCAAGTGAGAATTTTTTATCAGTTGGTAAAATGCGGTTGCCGGTTGGCACTACTGTTACTTGGGACTGCAGCGGACAAATTAACTTAATCATGATTAATTCCAACAGTTTTTGCCCTTGTTTATTTTACTTGTATTTGCTCTTTTATTGTTTAAATTTGTTATTCTTTAATTGGAAAACAAAAATTTCTTCCATTAATGTTTGAAAGAACAATAAGGAATCTATTAAACTTATTTTAGGTATTCAACTATTTTGCCGTTCAAAGAATATGTGAATTGAGGCATCTTATCCGAAAGGTCTACTATTTTTTGTGATAAACTGATTAAATTATTTATTACTTTCATCCAAATAACGTTTTGTTGGATTGAAAAAAAAAGATACTCCAATCGTTTGCTGGACTTTGTTTCTGACCGAGAGAAACGGTATATCAAAGGAATACGATACCGAACCATAGTTCACCATTAATAATATTAGGTTGTTTTGTTGTAGGCTTTTATTTTTTCTTGTTTGTTATTTGTTTAATGACCGCCAAAAGAAAATGCTCGAGGCAGAGTCCGAGATTTCTGGTTAACAACTATGATCGAGTAATTGCTTTAACGTAACGAATAGGAGTCGGTGTTTGCGGAAGGCGGAATGAATCAACGCCGGGATAGTGCGGTTCTTATGAATCGTCTCCCCCCTGCTGATGGTCAGCGGCATTGGGTCAGGGGTTGCTAGACCTAACGGCTAACCTTGATGTCCTGCGAACGTGTACGACTGGACTCGTATGCAAACCCTACAGGAATGGCTGTTGTTCAAACAACGACGAGGACAGTCAAGGTAATCCACCGCAAAGGGCTACAGCAGTATGGTTAAAGGCTTAAACGTGACACCTGAATGATGGAAAAGCACCTGGTCTCGTTGCAGCGCGGTAGAAGAGCGGATCTAAGCTTCCACGTTTTGTTTTCAATTGAAATCCTAATGGTGGTCGATATGGGCATCAATTAACATCAACGATTCTTTATTTTTTTTTTATCTTTACTTTTTTCCATAGAAAA